TCTCAAAAACACAAAACCCAGCCCAGTTCTGTGTGACTCCCGTGTGTGCTTGGTCATCTTTGGCTTTGATGTCCTACTGACCTTTTCATTATATCCCTAAACTTCAGCAGAATGGCAATGAAAGGCACCCTAAGCAACAGCTGAAAATTCCCAACATGTTAGTTACTCAGCACAGCTGCCAAACAAAACCCAAGAGATGTCCCTTCTGTCAAGATTTCTTATTCTCAAACAACATACTTGTAATCAGTTGAGGAAGAGAGTGGGTGAAAAATTAGAAAGTTCTTTGAAAATTTAAAAAATTTCTGGGTGAGGGACACATGCCTTGAATCCAAGTATTTGAGAGATAGAGGCAGCAGATCAGGGGTTTAAGGCTAGCTGGGTAAAACCTTGTCTCGAAACAAAAAATTTAAAAGACAAAACCAACATGGAAAAACTTAAAAGATGAAAGTAAAATAATGTATAGACCAAAACTTGCAGCTATAAATACCTCTGGTAAAATAAAGGATTTAAATCAATAAGCTAATTGATTTAAGGAATTTAAGAAATATGAAAAGGAGAAAAATCATATCCAAAACAACCCAAAAGAAACAACTAAAGCCAGAGTGGAAATCTATTTTAAAAAAAAAAAAAAAAAAAAAAAAAAAAAAGGAAAAGTAACATGAAGCCAGGCAGTGGTGGTACACACCTTTAATCCCAGCACTCACGAGGCACAGGCAGGTGGAGCTCTGTGAATTTGAGACCAGTCTGGTCTACAGAGCTAGTTCCAGGACAGCCAGGGCAGGCAACACTGCTGTGATTTAAGAAAAGCAGCACTCGAGAGAATGGCACCATGCGACAGGGTTTAAACAGAGGTGTTTTTTATTAGGGAAAGCCTCTGGAGACAGGATCAGCAGGAGAGAGGAGAAAGGAAAGGGGGAGAGAGAGGGAAGTGGGAGAAAGAGAGGGAGGGAAGGATGGAGGGGAATAGAGAGGGGGAGAGGGAGAGAGAGAGAGAGAGAGAGAGAGAGAGAGAGAGAGAGAGAGAGAGAGAGAGAGAAGGATGGGAGGTGGGCAGGGTCCTTTTAAAAGGGAACATAATGAATGTGCACAGAAGCTGCTCTTAGTGGCTGCAGCTGATGGCGTATCCTGTCAGAACCCCAAGGACAGGCCAGTACAGATGCCTGAATACTAACAAACACAAGAAAACTAGACACCAGATGTAAAATACCAGCAAAGGGATGAGCATCAGAAAAGGATTAGATACCATGAGCAAAGAGAGTTTATTCCATGAGTGCAAGATTAGCTCAACATATGAACAGGATATAATATATTGCATCTGTCTGGACAATCACATGATCAATTCAATAAACACAGCAAAAACATTTAGTAGTGAGGCAAAAAAATTTTATAAAATTGAGTCTTTTAAGACAAAACACTAACAACACATACAAAAGTTGACTCAAAATGGATTAAAGTTTCTACACATAAGGACTAGGCCCAGAGAGGTAGTAAATCTTTAATCTCAGCACTTGAGACACTGAGGTAGGTAGATCTCTACATGAGTTTCAGGTCAGCCAGGGTTACACAGTGAGACCCTGCTTCAAAACAAAACAAACAAACCAAAATAAATAAATAAAAAGGAAGCCTTTGTGGCTTGAAATGAGGCAACGGTTTCTTCTAAATGGCACCAAAACCACAAGCAAAAAGAGACAAAAGTAAAATGACGTCATTAAATTTAAAAAGGAACACGATAAAGAACATCTACAAAAATCCACAGCTAATATCACACTCAGTGCTTGTGTGCGAAGTCAGGAGTGAGACGGCTAGTTTTATGTCAACTTGACACAAGCCAGGGTTATCTGCGAGAAGGGAGCCTCAATTGAGAAAATGCCTTTGTAAGACTGGGTTGTAGGCTAAGGTTGTATTTCTTAAAAAGATATTGATGCAGAAGAGTCTAGCCCACTGTGGGAGGTGCTATCCTGGGCTGGCGATCCTGGGTTCTATAAGAGAGCAGGCTGAGCAAGCCAGTTAGCAGCACCCATCCATGGCCTCTGCATCAGCTCCCGCCTCCAGGTCCCCGCCCTGCTTGAGTTCCTGTCCTGATGAACTGTGATGTGGAAACATGGGCTGAAGAAGCATTTCCTCCCCAACCGGCTTTGGTCATGGGTGTTTCACCACAGCTGTAGTAGCCCTAACTAAGACAATGGCCAATGATTTTGGTTAGCAATCAAAACATGATTTAAAGAGAAAGGATAATCTTTTCACCAAAGGTGCAAGGACGACTAGCAGCCTGAACGCAAACAATGAAGCTGGTCCAATCGCACAGCACACACTAAACTTGATTCAAGATGGGTCAAACCTTTAAAGTAAGAGCTAAAACTATACAATTCTCAGGAGAAAGCCAGGTGAAGTGGCACACTCCTTTAGTTACAGCACTCAGGAGGCAGAGGCTGGCAGAATTGGAGCTGGTTCCAGTACAGCCAGGACCATACAGAGAGACCCTGTCTCAACAGAACAAAAAGAAACAAAACAAATAAAAATCTCAGGACACCTAGGAGTAAATCTCTGTGACTTGAAATTGAACAATACATATATGTATTATATGTATGTATGTATGTATATATATGTGTATACACACACACACATATGGTAACAATAGCACAAACAACAAAAATAAACATAAATGTACTTTATTAAAATGAAAAACTTTGGGGCCAGTGAGGTGGTTTCAGTGAGTAAAGGCACTTGGCTGTAAAGCCTTCCCATCTGAGTTCAAGCCCCAGGACCCACATGGCTGAAGGGGAGAATGGACTCTTGAAGGCTGTCTTTTGACCTCCTTACATGTATGTACACAACACAATGTAATTTTAAAAAGATTAAGAAGTTTAAAGGTGAGAAGACAAGGAGAACACATTACACAGGGATGCAGTGCTTAGAACACCTACAGAAACTCCTACAAGACAACCCAATTAAAAATGGGACATTGTTTGAGCAGATACAAGTGGGCAATAAGCACAAATACTCTAACTCCAGTTCCAGGGGACTTGACCCCCCCCCCCCTCTTCCAGCCTCTGCACGAACCAGGATAAACATGGTACACAGACATACATGCAGGCAAAACATCAATCACATGCAAAATAAAAATTCTTTAAAAATGTATGCATATGAGCGTTTTGCTTGCATGTAGCTACACCGTATGTGTGTCTTGTCCACTTCTAGAGTTTCTAACTTAATGAAGAATAGATTTTAAAAGTATTCCCTACAGTACTTTGCACTGGTAGGTACTTGCTGTGAGTTTCTCTGTTAAATTCTAATTCTATTAATTTGACTCATATCTTTGCTTCTTTTGGTTAGTTGGACTAAGGATTTGCTGATAGCTTGTCAATGAATCGCCTTTTAGGTTCATTAATTTTTTTTGTATTGTGTTTTTTTGATTTAATTAATTTATGCTATTTTTATTATTTATTCCTCTCTACTAGATTTGGGTTTAGTTCGTTCTTGTTTTTCTAAACTACTGAATTATATCAAAGTCATTTATTTAATGCTTTTCTGATTTTGGGGTGGTGGTGTTCAAGACAGGGTTTCTCTGTGTAGCCCTGGCTGTCCTGGAACTCATTCTGTAGACCAGGCTGGCCTCAAACTTAGAGATCTGTCTGCTTCTGTCTCCTGAGTGCTTGAATTAAAGGCATATATGCCACCAACTCCTGGTCTATATGATCTATTTTAGAGAAGTGTCCATGGCCTGCTGAGCAGAATGTATATTATTTGGTGTTTTGGGTGAAACATTCTGTGCATATTGATTGGTTAGTTCCATTTGATGTATAATATCACTTAATTCTGATGGTTCTGTTTTTTTTTTTTTTTTTTTTTCATTCAGATGACCTGACTACTGGAGAAAGAGGGGTACTGAAATCACCCACTACTACTGAATTGGAGAAATCTGTGTCTTTAAGTTCAATAGTATATTTCTTATGAAACTGGGTGGGCCAGGGTTTGGTGCATACAGAACTGTAATGCATTCTTGGTTAACTGTCCTTGGTAAGAATGAAGTGTTCTTCTTTATTTCTTCTGATTATTTTTAATCTGAAATATATATGTTATTCAAGACAGGGGTTTCTTTATGTAATCCTGGCTGTCCTAGAACTCACTATACTGACCAAGCTGGCCGTGAACTCATAGAGACCCAATTGCTTTTGCTTCCCAAGTGCTAGGATTAAAGGCATGACCCACCATCACCTGGTTATTTTGTCAGATATTAAAACAGCAATACTAATCAGTCAAGGTGGCACATGACTTTAATTCTACCACTTGGAAGGCAGAAGCAGGCAGATCTCCGTGAGTTCAAGGCCCACCTGGTCTATATAGCAGGCCAGGACTACATAGTGAGACAAAAAAATAAATGTTTAAAAAAAAAATAAAAATAGAAAGGTAGTGATACCTGCTTGCTTCTGGCCCCATTTGCTTAGAATACTTTTTCCCATCCTACACTTTAAGGTAGCTCTAATCTTTGAAGGTGAGTTCTTAATCCATTCAACTAACCATTATCTCTTGATTGGGGAGCTGAGGCCATTATAGAGTTATCATTTAAAGATGTGCGTTGGTTACTGTCGTTTTTGCTCTTTGTATTCTTTGTCCTATTTTGTGTTTTAGTAATTACAGCTTCACTTGTTTTCTTTCTGTATTCTCTTAACTATGCTTATTCCTCTCTTCAGTCCAAAGTATTCCTTCTAATATTCTCTGTAGGGCTGGCTGGTTTGATGGACACGAAGTATCGGTATGTATTACAACATGGAAGAACCTTATAATAAAGAGAAAGAAAACAGAAACAAAAGGCCATGAACTCAGCCAGGAGTGGTGGCAGATGCCTTTATACCTTTAATCTCAGTACTCGAGAGGCAGAGGCAGGAGTATCTTTGTGAGTTGGAGGACAGCCTGGTCTACATAGTGAGCTCCAGGACTGTCAGAACTACATAAAGAGACCACATCTCAACAAAAGAAAACACAAAAAAACAAAAAGCCATAGACCCAATTATTCTAGAAAACACAAATCCTCAAACAGAAAGGGGGCTTAGGAGTGGGGTTGGCAGGCAATTCGTCCTAGGGGGATAAAGTTCTGGAAGCAGATAGTATCATTGGTTATACATCTGTGTACTTAGTGGGCTGCATGATATGTGGGTTAGGGCTCAACAGAAACATTCCACAGAGCTCTGTGCTAGGAGTTGCACATCTGTATTAAACAGCACGTGCATGAAAGCGTGGGCTTCTAGAGCCATCATAAAATCTACAGACCTAATGGGGACACACTTATTGCCCAAGGCCTGACCTACAACCAGTTAGGGTGGCAGCCTTTACCCCTGACTCTAATGCAGTAGGCTATTCTGAAGGGCTTTTTCTTCGCTGGAAACACACTGTCCTTACAAAGTCTGGCTGGCCTGTAACTTACTACATACACTAGTTTTTAAGTTGTGTTGATTCTCCTGCTCTGCGTCCTAAGTGCCAGGATTACAGGTGTGCATCACCTCATGTCTTTTTGTTGTCTTTCAAGCAGCCTTGCTCTGTAACCCATACTCACAGTCCTGTTTATGTTCCCAAGATCCGGGATTGTAAGTGGGGTGCCATATGTATGGTTAAAATAGTTGGAAACCAAACCCTGGCCTTACTGCTAAGCTACATTCCCTGGCCTACTAGAGAGTATATAAATGTATCATTTTCCATTGTTACTTACATACATAAAAATACAAGTTCTGATCCTACCCAGACCTAACCCTATTCTCCTATCCTAGCAAACTGGTGAAAGGAAAAGACCTGACGGCCAAAGGGGACCACAGCACATCCATCCCATAGCCTTTTAATTCAGTGCATAATTAAATTGGTTTGCAAACTTCTCGTGTTTCTTCTGGTCCATCTGGTTCATGGCAGCAACTACTCTCTGCACAGCTGCCCTATGGAGAGAGCAAAGTAAGATATGATATATATGATATGACTAAGGATCTGACAGGACTCTGGGGTCCTGGGTTGGCTTGCTGCCTTTGGACCTCATAAAGGCTTCCAGTGGGTATTGGACTTCTATAAGGTAGGGCTCAGATAGAGTGTGGCTCACCAATCCAAACTATAACCTACCATGGGCCTTGGCTGTATCTCCCAGCCCTGAAGGCAATTGCAAGAGCACACTTGCTCAACTCAGACTGCACCCCAGGGTGAAGGCACAGTCAACATGGGCTGCATGTCCAGAGGTCAGGGGATTCAGCAGAAAGAAAAAAGGAGAAGGCAGGAGGCCTATGTGGCTCAGCCTCCATCCCACCCAAGGCTGACCAAGGAGCTTACTGACTAGTACTCTGATGAAGTGTCTGGACCCAGCAGACTATATATCTGCCTTTCCTGAGGTTACTCCTGTAACCTCAGAGTACAGAGCAGAGTTACCCCTGCTGTGAGCATGGTATTAGCGCAGGGCACAGCAAAGCCAGCATCTGGCCTTTTAAGACCACTTTGCTGAAACTGGCTCTGCTTATAGAGAGGTGGCTGTGGACTCCTAGGATGAATGCTCAAGGCATCCAGCTGCAGCTCTGTTTCCACCCAGCTCTTGGCGTGGTCTGTCACTGGTCAAGGCTGGAGGTCACTGTGATGCCTAATCCTGGTATCACCTTGACTAATACAATCACTAGAAGCTTCTGGCAACTTGGGTGGCTTTTCCCCAACATATCCCAGACCAAAGTCTGAGGCCCTGGCCAGTGACAAGCTCTTACTTGGCAAAGACCTTCTTCTCCAGGCGGGCCCGGGCGGTGTTGGCATGCTCCCGCAGGTCAGTGAGGTTGGGGTGCTTCTTCTTTTTCCCTTTGCCCTTCTTGCTATACTTCGAGGAGCCGAGGTCCACCCCTGTGGCTGCCTCCACATCCTTCATAAACTCAGGGTCCTGCCAAGCTGAGCAAAACTTGTGGATTTCAAAAGGTGCCTGGCACCAGCCAGGGATGACCCTTGCGGGTTTCTTCCTGATGGAGGGAGGGCTGGAGTCTGTCTGCTGCATGCCCCAGTACCATAGTCTAAGAGCATCTGTGCTGAGTGATATGGCTACCTTGGGGATGAGACCCACACAGGGACATCCCTTTCCTTATTCCCACTACCCTGCTTCTATTTCTTCGTCCCCTAGAATCTCAAGAGTTCCCAATTCTGAACAGGCAGGCCCAGCCCCAACAGCCACTACTCCTGGCATTCCTGACCACTCCAGCAGAACAGTACTCAAGGCTACTGGCCATGGAGTCAGGGTGTCTATGGGTTACTTCCCAACCTGAAGGCTGCTAGGCTATGGCCAGTCAGGCCAGCCAGGCCAACTGTAGTGTTTTCAGACATATCTGCTGGCTAAATAAAGGGCATGTGAGGCAAGGGTATCCAGAGCTGAAGTGTATGGCAGGCTAGAAATGGGTTCTCTGGCTCACAGGAAATGTGGTTATGGGTCTCAGAGTGCTGAGCAGAGTTACCCCTCTTGTAAGCTGGGCACTACTTGTGGTAGCCAGAAGGGTCTATGGAAAGTGGAGTGACTGACAGCACCCAGCCCACTGAGCAGCCTCATCACTACCAGGCCAGACCCATGGCAAGACCACTGCTCATGTGTCAGGCTGCTGAGATGGCTAACCAGATAAATAAGCATCAGGCTCTTCTGGGAGTCAGAGCCTGCAACCCCCGAGTTCCCTGCCCAGACTCTGCTGGCTCACCTCCGGCTTAGGCTGCCCTAAGCTCTGCTGGGCATGGCACTGCTCCAGCCTGGCTTGGCAAAGTCAGCTTAGTGAAGAGTGAAGGCAAAGTAAAGTTTAACTCTTCCAGGGTAAGCCTCGCAGGCAGAAGGGTGTCTGACACTCCTTACTACAAGGGCACCCAAACGACAAAGATCCATGAGCTAGGGCACAGTGGACAGGGATCGGTGCCTGCAAACGGTGGCAGCGAAGGCAGACTGTGAGAGGGGCACGTCCACTGACGGAGAAGCAAGCCCGCCAGACAGACAGATGGCTTGGCCTCTCCAAGCTGATTTTTTTGAAGTGAAGGAACTCAGGACTGCACGATTCAGATACAGGGACGATTAATCCAAGATTAAGGAAAACTGTCTAAACAGTTTATCTCCCAGTAATAAGAAGGCGTCACAGTTTAGGAACCTGGTGAATGGAGCAATTGTTTAAACACAACGAAAAAATGCCGGCATCCAGTGGAGATGGAATGAGCACCTCAGGAAAATGAAGGAGCAATTTAAAAGCCTTTGAAGAAAATCAATAGATGCTGGGGCTGTGCGGCCTTCCTGGGCGCTCGAGGGCCCTGGAGCACCGTGTGCATTGTCACCGAGGTTAGCACCAGGGAAAAGAAAATTGCCCCGCGTGCGAGGGAGGCGGGATCAATACTGCAGTTAGTAAAGAGATGCTATTTCACATCTGACTGGCCAGCACCGGGCTTGGCCCGTGGCCTGATACCTGTTTGTTAACAAGCCACCGAGGGCTGGAAAACTAGATACTCTTCAGGGTTGACACAAAAATAGGCACTTAATTTGCTCCTGAGTGTGAGCCACCAGGGAAGGTTTCTCCCGCAGATGAACAGGTCAGGGGCCCTCCCCATCGCTATACAACCCAGACATGTGCCTGGGCACAGGATGAAACAGGCAGGCATCTGCATCTCAGGACCACAGGGCAAGAAGCATGAAGGGGCCTGTAGACCTGCCCCCTTACAGAAGGGTCCTCCATGGGCTGACCACGGCCTCCAGGGTAGGTTTAAACACTAGTCTGAGTTTGACCACCCATGTAGATAGTGAGGTGAGTAGGAGCTGAGCAGGACAAGCCAGAGCCAGTGCAAGAATTAGAGGGGGGGGGACTATATCGGGGGCTGCTGCAATTCCCTCGTCTGCTCAGGAAGCAGGAATAAGAACAGGAACCTGCGGGACTGCAGCTTACCTAGCATAGCAAAGGCGCCGGGTTCAATCTCTCAGTGCAGATGCTGATATGGTGGCGCACCAAGTCAGGGGTACCCATAGTCCTGCTGTGAGCCCTGAAGATAACTCCCTCACTACCCACATGTGCCCAACCTTGCCCATGGAGCCCCTGACCTGCTTCTCAGTTACAAATGGAATCTGCAACTTGGTGACCACAACTTGGCCACACCTGCAGCCCTCTCATGCTCCCACATGCCTACCTGGATGTGCCTGCTGCCGCTGAAGCTGCTGCCTTTGCTCACGGGCTCTGTCCTCTGGGTTGAGGGGCTGCCCCTTGTCATCTCTGGGGATGATCTTCCCATGGAATGGGCACTATACAGCAAGCACAAAGCAGATGATGGCCAGGAGACAGCACAAATAGTACTAGAGGAGGGGGGCATCTGGGGAGTGACAGCAGCAGGAGTCTGAGAACTCACGTCTGTCTGTCCAAACCCACTTCTCTCCATTCTGCTACCTTCTGCATGCATGTACATACTTCTCCAAGCTCATGACAGCCCACACAGGGCTCTAGCTGCAGAGCAGCAGTCTGGCTGTTTTGGTAGTCTCTCAGAAGTCAATGTCAGGGCCCAGGGCAGAGACAGGGCCCAGTGGCTAAGCAATTATGCTTATGAGGTCTCTTCTACAGGGCTCCTCAGGACTCGCAAGTGTCCCTGGTCTAGAATGAAGGCAAAGAGGACAAGCACTTCCCCAGGCCACTGGTTGTGGCTGAGCCTCTCCCTAGGTAGCCAGAGCTTCATGCGAATGGCCTTGCCCACCAGCCTTACCTTTAGCCGATCCTGGCGTTCGCAGAGCCTGCCATTAGGCTTCAGGGCCCGGCACTGGTGCTGCACAGGCTCAAACTTCCCTGCAAAGGTAATGTGTCGGCTCCGGAGCATCTCAGAAACATGGGCACTGTCTACCTCCTCCTCTACCTCGCTGGGTTTCCAGAAGCGGTGTTGAGAGTCAGATCTGCAAGGTGCACCAGAGACCCTCAGAGTGGCTACTCTGGACCCCAAAGACAGGGTCTGGCCAATCCCAATGCACCCCAATTGCACTTCAGTCCTGGGGAGAACACTGACTCCTAGTGGCCTTGAGGCCTTCCTGGACTGGAGAACAGGATCACTCCAACCAGGATCAAATTGTGATGTTCTGAAACAGCCAAAGATGGTGGGTATAACCACTAGCCTGAACTCAGATTCCCCTTGCAAAGAAGAGCAGCAGCTCAGGGCCCTCAGGCCATGGCTTTGAGAGTAACATGAGTCCATGTCAAGGGTCTCTGTCACGGAGTGGGAGAATATGGCTCTGGCCCCGACATGGCACCAATGTCCCAGAGGAAGAAGTAGGATAAATTCATACCCAGTCTTCATGCACGGCTAAGGGACCCAAAGGATGGAGCTTTTGCTACCTTGCTATCACTAAACATTGCTACCCCCGCCCCGGCCCCAGCAGTGCTAGGGATTGGATTCAAGGCCTCATGCATGCTAGGCAAGCACTCTACCACTGAACTACAGCCCTAGCCCCTCCCCTAACCTTGTTAAAGCCACTTTTCTCTGGATGCCAGAAAATGGGGCAGGCTTTGCCACTCTGCCCCCTAACTGACACATAGCAGGATTCTATGGGCTCTGCACATGGATGTAAGCTTCCCTAAGAGCTGGCACCTCTGTGGATTGCTCAGAGCTGGGGGGGGGGGGCAGGATCCTGATTGGTCCTGGCTGTAACTGGGTGCAACAGCATCCAATAACCAGAGTACTATGATGGCAGCAGCAACACAGAGGTATGACTTGTAGACTCCACACAACAAACCTAACTGTACCAATATTTTATCTCATGAAGCCTCATTTTAAAGTCCTGGACCAGGACTCTCACATGGGGAAACCTGGTTCCCTTTCCTTAGATTTCTAGAGGTCCCAACTCCTGCCACGTAAGCTTAGCACTCAGGCAGCCCAGTCTAAGGTTCATCCAATCATTGGCTTTACTAGTCTTAGACTCCCAGCTCTAGCTGTTAAATACAGGGCCAGCAAATGCAACCTTCCAGGCACCCCTGACTCCTTCCTTCTATAGTTTTCACCTGTACTCCTAGATATATTCTGCTCCTCTATCTTCTCTTAGCTATCTGCAGCCTGGGCTCTGCTGGCAAAGCCCCACTCAGAAGGTCCGTGGGGAACAAGAAGCAACTTCTGACACAGTTAACACTGTGCTCATCAGCCTGCTGCATCTTGAGGAGGAGCCACAATGGCAAGGGGAGTCTCAGGACTGAGATTCCCCTGTTAGCTATTCCTTCACCTTGAGTAATGGATGGACTTCATGGATACCTCCTGAAGAAGCGCAATAGTAAGGCTCAAACACCAGTGTTCTAAGAGCCAGAGCACAGATATAGAAGGCCAGGCCATGCTCTGAGTCTGGGAACCATATACGGTACACTCACTTAAGGATCTTTCCCGCTGTTAGCTTCTCTTGGCCCCAGTAACACAGGTCCACTCCGAAGGGTACAATAGGTGCTCGGGCCCGCTCTGCCTGCTTCTGGGCTTCCTCTGGCCCCAGGGGTACCCTGAAAACAAATCAGTACATGTGGGCTACCCATTCCTTGTGTGGCCACTTGCCTTTCCCCCCCACACCCCAACATAGCCCAGAGGCCTGGGGTCAGCATGAATGAACTACATTGGGCCTGAGCTTTCAGAATAGCTGCTGAGGCCCAGTAAACAATCTAGCCTTGTTGAGCACTGGCTCTGATCTGTGATGTGAACCTGTTTCACATTTCCGTCAAGAATGGGGCCCGGCTGCAGGACCTCTGGAGGGTTGCGGTTGCTGCAGGCTCACCCCGCTGCGCACCTTGTCCCACATCAACAGGTGCTATGTGTCTAGGGTTACACACACCAGGCTACTCTCAAAGTGGGGTGGGGGTGGGGTTCGGTTCTTGGACAACCTGTTCGGGCCAGCCTGTGCTCCAGACAGGAGGTGGCAGTATTAGGCAGTGGGGCCCAGCAGCATGGGACATGGAGAGTCACCTCGTAGAGGAGGGTGAGTTAGATGGCAAGTAGTCCTGGAGCCGCAACAGCTGGGCAGCTGCAGAGGTGGGGTCTGATGCCTCCTCTTCTCTTATCATCCTTGTCCTCTCCTGTAAGCTGCACACAGCCCTACCTCTCTCCAGGGTCTTCAGTGGGGCCTTTGGCTCCAGCCCTAAAATGACACATGTCCACTTCTATCACCACTCTGCAGCCCAGGGCAATCTGGGGAGCACCATGTGCTGTGCTCAGGCCTCAGATGCACCTGCACATGCCAACATCCACTCCTCCAACAGCACCAGAAATGCCTGTCATCTCAACTTCTTAGACAGGGGCCACACTCTTATGTAGGAGACACAGGGCAAGGACCCAGGCAGGTCTAGCCTATAAGGACTGTCACTAGAAGCCTACTCAGAGTTGTTCACAGCATAGACCAACAACATTGTCACCTTTGCCCACAGCTTCCCACAGTGAGAGGATGGACTTTGTACTGGCTGGTTTTATGTGTCAAGTTGACACAAGCTAGAGTCATCAGAGAGGAAGGAGCCGCAGTTGGGGAAATGCCTCCATGAGATCCAGCTGTAAGGCATTTTTCTCAATTATTGATCAATACGGCGGAGGGTGTCCCAGCCCATGGTGCATGGTGCCATCCCTGGGCTGATGGTCTTGGGTGCTATAAGAAAGCAGGTTGAGCAAGCTATAAGGAACAAGCCAATAAGCAGGACTCCTCCATGGCCTCTGCATCAGCTCCTGCCTCCAGGATCCTGCCCCGCTGGAATTCCTGTCCTGACTTTCTTCAGTGATGAGTAGCAATGTGGAAGTGTGAGTCAAATAAACCATCTCCCCTCCCTGCCCCCCAACCCGCTTTTTGGTCGTGGTATTTCACTGCAGCAACAGGAACCCTAAATAAGACAAACTTCTATATACAAAACCTGCCATGCTAAAAAGAGGCTACCTGTAATGTGAACACGCAGTTCCCTTCTTCCTGACAGGGGGCCTCCCTGCCTTCACTGAGCAAGGACCAGAGAAAACCAGCCTTTGTATGAGGGTGACACATGACTCAAGCAGAGACTTAGTGGGACATTTTCTCCCCTGTACCGTCCTCAGAAAAAGCACCCAAGGTTGTTCCCAACTTCTGCCCTAAACTTCAAAAGCCACAGGGGTAGCTATAGTTAGGTCTGGGTTCTGTGACTGCAGTATCTTTTCTGTGGCTGTGGGGCAGATGTCAAGTTCCTGACTACAGTATGCCACCCTGGAATACCTGCCCTAGTACCAGCTAGAGGAGGTTATGATGTTGACACCTGACAACAGGATCTGTACAGGATATGGCAGATGACACCAACATTAGCTCAGTATTCACTCTCATATCTCCAATGGCAGAATCCGGTCCACTCTTGGGTCTGGCTCTCAGGAGGTTGCATGTAGGGCCAACTCTGACTCTTGCTGGCCCCACAGCATAGTCTGACCTGGGACTCCAGAGGCACTACCTACTTCTCACATTCACTGCAGGAGCAAACTCAGCTGGATACCAACCCTGCTACCAGTGAGACCTGCACTGACAGAAAAGCGCAGACTTCTGAGCGCCCTGCCACCAAAGAAGGGGAACAGATGATGCACCACTTCTTAGACTAGGCAAATTCTGCAGCTGAGATAGGGCAGGACGGACGGTAGACAGCAGAGCGCCATTCTGGCAGTCAGAAGAGGAAGATGCTGAACACATCTTCTATCAAAGATGAGAAGCAGGGGGCTGAGAGATGGCCCAGCACTAAGAGCACTGGCTGTTCTTTCAGAGGACCCAGGTTCAATTTCGAGCGCCTCATGATAGCTTATAACTGCTTGACTCCTGTGCCAGGAGCCTCCTCGGGAGCTAGGCACACACTTGGCACACAAACATACAAGTTCACAAAACACCTACACACATAAAATAAAAAAATTCTTTAAAATGGACGAAGAGCAGGAAATGTGGCAGAAAATTACTTGCTGTGTGCCTGAAGGGCAGAGAGACCAATGGGCGTGCACGTGAGCAAACATGCACAGTTGAGCAGTCCGAAGGACAGATGTACAGGCACTGGTGTCCTTGTTTCTGGACTTCCAGAGGAAGTGCAGGAAGCAGTTGAAGAAATGAGCCAGTTTTCCTGAAACGAAGGGACTTACTGCCAGGGGAGGCAAAGGGAGAACTATGGCTGAAAGAGGAAGTTCAAGGACATTAATGATAACGGAAAAGGTGAGCTGAAACCCCACTGTCAGCCGCAGCAGTGAGTAAAGGCTCTGAGGCGCCATCTTGAAGGGTGCAAGGAAGAGCTGGGGGTATAGTGTCGTGGCAGAGCGTGAACCTAGGATGCGTGAAACCCTAGGTCCCATCCTCAGCACCACAGACGAGAAAAAAGACAAAAAGGAAGTGTGTAGGAAGAAGAGACAAGCTTATAGCCGAATACCCTGCTGAGCTGTCAAGGCCACCACAGGTACAGACAGGGGGTCTTGTGGACCCAAGACCTTACAAGGACCACCACTCACAGATTCTTTAAGAACACCTTTAGCATAAGTGATCCATCAAGAAAGAAATCTAAAGCACAAGTGCACAACAAGATAACAAGTGAATGACTTGATATCAGAACACGACTCGGTGGATACCAGGGTACCAGGGTGGCCCAATGCCATGGAGATAGAATAAGAGTGTCCTTTACCATCACCTGTCTAATGTAGAGGACAGTATAGACTAAACCATAAAAAAATTAGTGAGTGAGGGGGCTGAGGGCTGGGTAGAAAAGCATGTTTAACGTGTGTGTGGCCCTGGGGCCCTGGGTTCTGCCCCAGAACCACAAAATGAAGCAATGAATGATAAAACTAGGTGAGTCATAAAATTAGAGACAGCTGTCAGGAGGATACGAAGATTTTTTTTTTTTTTTTTTTTTTTTTTTTTGGTTTGTTTGTTTCTTGTTGGTTTTCGAAACAGGGTTTCTCTGTGTAATTTTGGAGCCTGTCGTGGAACTCATGCTGTAGACCAGTCTGGCCTTGAACTCACAGAGCTCCGTCTGCCTCTGCCTCCTGAGTGCTGGGATTAAAGGCATGCGCCACCACCATCCTGCCAAAGACATGTTTTTAAGCCAGAGAATAAAGCCAAACAGTAACAGCAGCAGCAAATCTAGAAAAAATATGGTGTCCAATTCTAAACACACTGAGGACTGCCTGCCACATGGACTAATAAATAAACCGGTGAGCAGATAGACTGGGCAAGTCAAATAGGTTCAGCTAATAAAAATAAACAGCGACTGAGAGGCTAAGAGAAAAGAATACATGAAGGTATGATAAATGTGGATGGACCTGTACCTAATAGTCAAAGTACAAGCTGAATGTCATTGTCATCCAGATCTTGGGGTGCTCAGGTAGGAGAATCCCAAGGTCAAGGCTGGTCTAGGTTACATAGTAAGAACCTAAATCAAGAAAAAAATTCATTAAAAAAATTGCTAAGTCTGTGTATTAATTTCTAGACTTAAGGTCAATGAGTGTTTAGGCGTATGATACAGGTATATGATTTCAGTACTCAGAAGGCCTGGGTAGGTGGATTTCAAGTTGAAGGCAGCTCGAACTCAATGCAGGACACTGTTTCCAAGGCCAAATAAAACAAAGTCTATGCACACAAAGAGACATCCATCAAGGCAGACCAACTGTACTTGAGGGCCTTGGGAAGGTGAAGCCTCCAGCTCTGAGGGGTCACAGCACTAAGTCACCAGAGTTCTGGACTCATCACAGGCTTGCTGCAGCAGAGGTCAGCCTGACATGGCACAGAAACCACCAGCTGCTCCTCGGGGCTTCCTGGGGCCCTGGAGGCAAAAGGCCAAATCTGTTATACTGCCTGTTCCCATGACAAAGTCTTGCTGGTCCTAGCTATGGGCATTTATTTGCTGTTGGAGTAGAACCATGACAAGAGAGCTGATGCAGTCCAGAAAGAGGAAATATTTACTGCTCTGGTACACCTGGTACACCCTATGTACAGGTAAGGGCTCCTGTCTCTTGGAGACTCATGGGTGGGAAGCAGAAGACTTGTGTAGGGCCACTCAGAGAGGGTAGTGGAGTCACAGTTGTCACAGTCTGCCACCTCCAGGCTCTGACTGTGTGTCAGAAGGTAACAGGCAGCCCCTTCTCTGCTCTGTCCTAAAAACAGTGTCCAAGGTTTGGTTGGCAAACACTTCCATGTGACCCTCGTGTTTCCCATCACAATGTTACCAGCAATGTGGAAGCCAGCAGTTAGCCCAGCCCTGCATACATACATACACAGCAGGGAGGCAAGGCTGGTAGTGAACAATGTGACATTTAGATAGATACAATCGCAGCCAAAAGATCAATATGAGAATTCCTAAGAGTTACAAGAATGAAATATATTTTTCATTGATTTGTTGTTTTAAACCATTAAGAAGATGGGTAAGCGTGTTAGAGCAGGGTAAACACTCAGGGCACCAAACACACCACTGTTTCACACCGTCCTAGAAAAATCAATCTCACTGACATATTTTCAAAGTTAAAACCCAAAAAGCAGAGCACACTCTTCAGGCCTGAGGATGCGTGACCCTAAAGAGTGAGACATCGCCCTGCTGGCCACCACGGCCCTGCTGCCTCGAGGGCCGACTCCAGTGGTCCCTTGGTCAAAATTTACTCCCATAGTTGCTTTTAGAAAGAATCATAAAAATGTCCAAAGCTCCTTTTTTTGTTTAAATTGGCCAAGTGGCACCTATTTGCCTGAAGCACTAAAGCAGACAGTGTGGGAGAGATGGATCGATAGGAGGAAATGGAGAGGCTGGGGCTCCGCACAAAGTTAGGCTGCCGCGCGCTGACATTATTGATTTTACCTAGTTCAGCTGGCCTTGTAATTAAAATGTAAATTTGAGAAAGAGATTATGTCCTGACAGAAATGGTAGGATTAAGGGGAAGATAAAAGCCCCTCAGTGAAAATTCAGAGAAAGAAATGAGAAAGAAAAAAGAGCCTGATTTCCTCAGCCGTGTGGATTTAGACTGAACCTAACACTTCAGATTCGCCTGTGTTTAATTGGAAAAACAGTGATGGACTATAAACTAGTATTATGAAGTGAGCTCACTACCCACTGTCTGTCTGTCTGGACACTCCAGCATAGGCTGCTGACTTAGTTCCCAGGACTCCCGAGGGAGTCCACATTGGTGCAATGATGGTGGCTTCCTACTTTCCATCCCTGCCACAGGTCCTGCCAGTGGGGCTAGTGTCCTTACCCCAGACCCCCTGTGAATGTCCCAGGAACCATCACACTCACTCGGTGTGTCACGTATCCTGGCCTCAAGGGCCCACCAACCCTTCCCTGGTACCTGAGGCCCTCGGCCCAGATTGTATGCACTGGGTGTGGTTGCTGTACGGCTACCTGTACACCCAACCAGCCCACCCAGCCTCTGCCAGGCTTTCCACTTGAAGTCATTTTGAAAACACAAAAGAACAACACTTGGCTCAGACCACATCAGTCACTACTGCCTTCCAGGTTTAAAGCAGATGTCTAGAGCCTTCCCAAGAAAGGGACGAATTAAAGATAATGAAGCAGACACCAGGGCCTTTCTGTTAGGCTGGGATGAAGTCCCTTACCAGCTTTGGAGGCCCTTCCATGATCAGGTATGCATGGAAGGCTCTGAAGAAAAGACACATAGGCTGATGGGCATGGGCATGGGTGCAGGAGCTATGGGCAGTGGACTTACTACTGCTATGTAACAAATGACCGAACACTCAGTAGTGGAACCAAAAGTATTCTATTGAAAATTATGGACTATTCTCCATTAATTAGGAACACAACTCTGCTGTGAGGCCTGAGCCAGGCTGGGATGACCATGAGTAGATGAGGGTTGTAACTACCAAACCAGAGCCACTTGTGATTTCCTGTGCAGCCAGTACCCGTGTAGCTTCACAGCAGGTTGCCCATGGCTATGCCCCTGCAAGTAATGTTGGGAGATGCTTCAAAGTATTTTTACAGCTCAGCCTCTTTTGCTGGACTCAAATGGCCAGCAAGTCACAAGCCATCCAGGTACAGGCAGACACAGGACCATCCCTAGTCAGGAGGACTATAGGATTTGCTCTAGCCCTGTTAATTTCTACTTGTGGCTGAAAAGAGCTTCACTGTGTGTATCTACCTCCCAGATGTGACACTGAATAAGCATCTGTGAACAGAGGCTGCTGTCCTCATTGGTACCACCACTGGCCATTCCCAAGCCACAGGCCAAAGACACCCTCTCCTATGACTAAAGAAGCTGTTTTGTTCTTTGAGGACGGTTCTCAGTGTTGGCTTGTCACTGCTGGCTCTACTACATATGACCTGGAGCTCCTCTAAGCCCATATAAAGTCAGAGTTAGCATATCTGCTAGAAGGTCATGGAACATCAGAACAGGGTGCAGAGGCCCAAGCTAAAACAAAACAAAACAAAAAAAAAAAAAAACAAACAAACAAACAAAAAAACTCCGGTGCAACCATGAGCCCTGAATCATTGCTGGCTCCCAGGCTCCGCTAAAGACCCAATCAGCTTCTCTGAGGAGAGCTATTCAGTCCCCCCACCCCCAGCTTAAGAAAGGAAAATGTGGCTTCCAAAGAGGACAGAAGAACATCTAGGCAGATAGGACCCTGTACATAAGTAGAGCTACCCACACTGCCTGGACCATCAGAAATGTCTGCCCACTGTTCTAGACTCTGGTGGACTTAGATAAAGCCACAGCCATATCAGCACCTTGCCAGACCAAGGCATCATCCAGCTGAGGGTAAAAGAAACAGGGGGCAAAGACCACCCTGGGCCTAGGAGGATGGCCATGCCATCCTATAATATACCTGAAGCATTTTTGGGTACCCCAGGTGTTGGGTGTGGCACTTGGCTGTGACCACTTTGGGTGAGGGTTTGGCCATGAGTTATTTCCCACTAGGTGAAAAGATATACTGGGAAGTGGCAAAATCCATTTTTGATAGAGATGGGTGCTTGGAGAAGCATGTGGGTGGAGGAGGTTTAGGGGTCATGGACTTACAGACTGAGGAACCCCATAAGAGCATTGCAAGGCTAGGTCTGGAGAAAGGGTATACAAAACTCAACAAGGCAGGGTGCATACAACCAGCAGGTGAGGCAAGCAGGTATAAGATGGCATCTCTACTAGGCAGGGAGCTCTTCATGGGGTCTTACAACATTGGGACTCCTGCAGAGTGGGCCAGACCAGGTTACTATGCTCAGCCAAGAGGTCACCAGTACTCGCTTCGTGTGAAAGGTTCCTCCTGACAGTCACACACTCACTGACCTCCAAGTGCCCAGCCTGTAGCAGATGGCCCTGGGCAGAGGGCTGAGACTGCCTGGGGCTAATTGGTATGACACCCCCAACAGGTCATGACTTCTTCACACACAAGTCATATATTCATCTAAATTCTCTTAACAAATTCAGATTCCACCCCACAGACACCAGTTCAAATCTACTTGTGTTCTTCCCCAGAGAAGCCAGGGTACTTGTTTGTATTTGCTTCCTCTTGACATAAGTGATGCCATAACCCAAGGCTGTGACCTGGGTCCTAGGTCCCCTTTAAGTCTACACTTTCTCTCTGAAGGGCACAAGCTTTTAGAGTTCTTGGAAAAGAGGAAAATCCTAGATGGGATACTCCTGTCTGTCACAGTGGTGATGTGTGTGACAAGCTGATTCTTGCTAAGGTGTTCAGACATTGCTGAGTCAGAGGCCACACCTGTGGCCTCACAGACACAAAGCTGGGATGCTTTTATCATGGTATCTGCCTCCCCTCCACCGTGGCTCAGACCCTCTGTGGGCAAAGGCATCCCCATCAGACTGTACCCCTGCCCTGAAGCCAGAGCATCAAATGGTCCAGAAGACTGTGTGATGGATGCCTGCCCATGTGCTGGCCCCTGGGGACTCAGGGCACAAAAGAAAAATTCCACAATTTAAACACAAGCAACAATTACTGACACAACCGCTATACAAGGGAAGCTGAAGGCTAAGCTCCCTGTGTCAATGTCACAACCTAGAGGCATTGTCCAGACTGGGGACCTGTCTCCCCGGTACCCTTGATGTCTAATCCTGCCCCTTGCGGGCCCACAGCTCACCATATTCAGCCCGGAGGTGGTCAGGGATTCGGGGCTCATAACCTTCTTTCTCTGGGACCTCCACAAAGTCCTGGTCCTCATCTTCGCTGTCCTCTAGGGCTTCTGTCTGTGAAAACATCCCCAAGCACAAATGAGGTCATCAGCTCTATGCAACAACGGCTGTCCCTGGGCCGTGTACAGATGCTGCTTCTCATAGGGCCATTTCTCTAGTTTGGGACTTCAGTCTCAGATGTGGATGGTCTTCAATTACAATGTCTCTAAGGCTGTTCTCATTCTTAAATCCCAGTGCCTTTGCTTAGCTCCCACCTGGAGCCATTCCCTAACCACCATCGACTCTCTTGTGCCTGACGCAGTGCACATCACCAGGTCCTTACAGAGCTGCTCATCCCCACTAAGCAGGCACCACAGCCTGAATTAATGCTGCTGCCATCCCACCTACAGCTCTACCATGCCCAAGTAAGCCATCATGGTCACAGCTCATAGAATTCAGTATGCCTCAGACCCAATGCTCCTCCAACCTCACTGCAGAAACATCCCCTGATAAGGTTCCTCTCACCCTATCTCCCACTGACCAGTCTTCCAGTCTTCCACTCCCAGGACAGGATGCCAGAAACTCAACCTTCCTCCACTGCCCACCTGTCACACTAGAGGGCCAGGCTCAGCTCACCAGGGCAAGGACGTCCATGCCCCTAGGAATGTGGCACTTCTCAGATTGTGGTGGCCCTTTGAGCTGTGTTGCCCCTGGAATTTGGGTGCTCCCCAAGTTTCAATGCCTTTGCAGCTTCCAAAGCTCCAGGGCAATTGACTGGGAATGATGGTACACATCTTTAATTTCAAAGGGGAATATATAAGGGCTGAGATGGAGAGGAGATTCAATTACAATAACAATACATAGAGCCCTAGTTGACCAGCAGGAGCTCTGCACTGAGTATCCATCAATGTCTGAGAGTGGACCAGGCAAGAGGCAGAGGCAGGTGGATCTCTGTGAGTTAGAGGAGGCCAACCTGGTGTATGTAGCAAGTTCCTGGACTGCTTCATAATAGAGGTAACAGAGAGATCCCATTTCAAAAAAAACAAAACAAAACAAAACAAAAAACCAACCAACCAAACAAACAAAAGCTCCAAGGCAGAGTTGATACAAGGAAAGCCTCTGTCAAATGAGGGCCAACTAGTGGACCCTTATAGGGTTATAAGAAAAACTCTGAAAAACTTAAACATTAATTCTAAAAACTACTTCCAGCAGTAACACTTTGAATTCACAGATGTTCCTTGTGGTCCTAACTATTTCTTGGAGGGAGAAGGACATCTAGAGAATAACTTATTCCACTGTGCATTGGCAGCCAAGCAAATGATAGCCACCAAGGATGAAGGTGCATCACCTACTTATGCCATAGCTCAGCATGCTGCCCGCCCAGGTAGAGCCAGGCTCCATCTTGGGGCTGCTGGAGCCATCAGCAGCCACATCTGGCCATGCCTGCTGGCCCCATGCCCCAGCCTGGGAGACTGCTGCCCGATAGAGCATAATCAGATGCAAATGTACTTTGTTTTGGTGCAGCCCACAGTTGTGCATCTGGGAAGCACAGGAGACATTAATCATCGGAAACTGTAATTTTTGTTATCAGTCTAACACTGATCAAAAGGGAAGCCTGTCTCCACCGCTGACCTGTGAAACGTCCCAATTATACTCTTTGGAAATGACAGGGGCACTTAACTCCCGAGCTGAGCAAATGACGACGATCAATCACGTTTGAATAACAATGAGCCACGGACCTGAAAATTATTTTTGTATAGAATCTACCCAGGAATTTATGAAAGGTGGAAAGCAGCCCAAGGTTTTAGGGCATTACGGGCTCAGCTAGTGCAGTGCGTATCAAACACTAAACAGAATTTATGTGTTTTAATTTTCTAAAAGGTAGATGTGGGCTGGGTGCTACAATGCATAACATATAGTGCCAGGTTTTAAATATGGGGGTCATTTTCATAAAATATTATGCTTATTGCTCACACCCTTGAATTTTGCTAGGGACTTTTTATCAAAATTTCATTCCCTAAAAATATTCAACTGCTTAGGTAACTATTAGTATTTTATCTTCTTCCTCCCCAACTAAAATCGTTTATTTTTGAGATTAAATTTGAAGCACTGGCTTCTTCCTTGTTCTTAAACTAGCACTGACGAGGCCTCTGGCTGTCTGCTCTTCCACCGCCTTGTGTTTGCCTTGGAAAGGCCCGGGCTTTCTTTAGGGCCACAGAGAGACCAGCAAGGCATTTCTACACTTTACTCTGCAACTGTTCTGAGATGGGGTCCTCAACCTGCAACTAGAATTTAGAGATGCCACTGTTAATACTTAGTGAAACTAAAGTGAAGCATTAATTCACATTTGGTAAATATTGATGTTGCAAATCCTTGGTGCCAAAGTTATTTAGGATAGCTGACAGACGAGCCATACCCAAGGGACGGGAAATTACTCTGATGTGGAGAAGCTCTGAGCCCTAGCTGTTGGAACACTCCTGTGACCTGCTCAGGAGTCTGACCAGGAACATTATGGTCACAAGGGGCAGCCCCCCTGGAAAGGTAACACCACCCAGAGGGTAGAAGGCCTTCATGGGATGGTCTTGAACCTCACTTGACCAGCCTCCACTCATCACCGTTTGAAATCTAAATAATCGAGTGGTCAGGACCACTGTGGTGGTAACTAGTCTTTAAGGTCACAGGGGTGGGGGTGTCAGACAAAAGCCAGCATCAAGAGGGGTCCATGTCCTGGGAAAGTCCTCATACCTGGTAATAGAGAGACTGGCAATAACTTCAAAATGGGGCCAGACTTTTGAATGTTCTCAATTCACTTTTATCCCACATGAGAAGGCCGAGTTTTCTACTGTCATGAAACAACACAGAACTTCGTGAAACCAGTGGGGAGGACCAACCATTAATGAGATCTGCACATGGGAGCCACACATCAGCACAGGCTGGGCATCTCTCTCACTCATATCTTTCCTGACAGGTGAAATCCTTGGGTGCCTTTTAGAGACAGGGTGGTGGGTGCTTAGAAACCCTAAGAAATCCTTCCAGCCAATCAGATAACTTGTCTCAAGCTGGCCCCCTGGTGGGAACTATAGACCCCTACAGAGGGTCAACTCATCCACCCCATAGGACAGACATAAGCTTTTACCCACTACTGCTGCCATGGAAGGGGTACTGCTTGTTTTATACAAATTGATTCTCACCCACAGTTAAAAGGATTTAGAAAAATGAGTCGTCATGATCATAATTAAACAAGCAATAAAACGGCTAAAATATACAATGCAATCAGTTTACAGAAGTGGGGTGGTGAGTGCTAATTATTTGCGAAGGAATGGAAGAGCATCTCAACATGCTGAAAGCCATGGCCGCCAAGCCCACAGCCTAGAGATACAGCTGGGACCATTAAATAAATTTTGTACGATCTAATTAACTTGGTGCGCAATCTCAATTACTTTTCACCCAAGAAATCACTTTTGTTCAGTTTTATGTGTGTCTATTTCCCTTTTAAAAAAAAAATGATGTAAGGCCTCGTCAGACAAGTGAGTTCCAAACTGCATTTGTCTTTCAGCGGCTTGATGGCTATGCATTTAAAAACCCATTCTATCTTATAAACTAAAAATTAAACGTGCTCAGCTGTGATGGCCGTCATTGCATCTGCTATTTATATGCTAATGCCCTCCCTGGAAGGCCGTGCAAATTGCCCGGCCAGGCCAATATCTCATGTGCATCTCGGCTGCCAGGGACGCACCTTCAGAGGACAGAGGGCGTAGTGGTGCTGACCATGTGATAACACAGAACAGGCACCTGGTGGCCACAGAGTCAAACCTGCCCACATGCAGGCAGAGCACCTGAGCACACCATCAAGTTCAAATATCACACTGGAAGGACGTTTCTATAAAGGCCATGCTCACGAAAGAGATCTCACAATAATAGAATTGCAGAACACACACAGATGGGCATTTCTCCTCCTCTTCTCTCCCCTGATCTGAATCAATGCGTCAAAGTCCACAAAAACCTGCCCTAGGGAATCCAGTATGAGCAAATAGCCCCAGTGCCAGGGAGTTTCCTAGAACTGGAGTTCAAGAGCTGAGTGTAGCCTGCTACAAAGTATCAGGCAAGAAGCTGTGGTCACATGTGCCTAGAAGTCCATTTCCAGAGCAAGGCTAAGACTAGAGATCCCAACTGGATCCAAACAAGCAGCTAGCTAGATGGGTAAAAGAGTCACATGCTGTCAAACAAATTGAGGCCTGGTAGCCTAGGTGGACACAGGCCAGGTGTGCTGGATTCATAGTGTTCCCTAATGGGTATACTCAAACCAGCCTGCTCTGGGAACCCATATATACATGCTCCCAATGACAAGGTTGTGTGAGTGGTGCAGAGGCAGGCCGAGTTATCATGAATGAGGTTATGTGAACTCACACATTAACATCCAATGAAGTGTGAAATCACTAATCATTCTTCCCAGGAGTGTGCACAGAAAGCCAACCACGCAGGGGAGAAGTGTGTCCTCACAACCAACACTTGCCAGGACCGGAGCAGGGTCCTCCCTGTGTCTTGGCTGCCATCTCAGGTGAGAGCAGGTGGCCAGCCGCTGAGAACATGAGGCCATGCTATGTTGTGTGGCCTGTCCCAAAGGGACCAGTGCCTCGTTCATCAAGCAGCCTTTCCACTGGGCGTCTGGGACTTCAGGAGGGACCATGACTCATACAAGTTTCTCTGGATTGCTTTCTCATCTGTAAAATGGAGGAAATGACCTGATGCGTGTGTGTTTGGGGGGGGTCACTCCTGGAGCCAAAGAGATACCATATGAGAAGATGTTGAGAGCTAGGTCATTCTGGAAAGACAAATGATTGGGCTGGACACTAAAGCCAGGGAGAGGCTGGTGGAGGGGCTGCTGAGCTGTTCTCTCCCATCCATGTGAGCTGACCGCCTAAGAACTTATGCTCAAACCCCTCCCCACTCTCTGCCGTTGGGAGCGTGCTTGGCCTTCAGTGTGATGGAGGGAGCACAGTACTGAGAAGGCTGTTTACGGGCCCTGCTGCTGCACAAGGTCCTGCAAGGCTGATTTAGTTTCCCTGCTTTCCACGGGTGTGCCTGACGGTTCAACATTTCATTCCCTGGGTTTTCTGCCTCTGTCCTTTTCACCTACAAGACGCAAATCCTGAACAGCCCAGGGAGCTTTCTTAACACTCTGCAGGAGAAGAGGTGGGCCTGGGTGAGTGACTGCCCAGTATAGCACCGTGGGCCTGGTAACGAGGCTGCTGTGAAAGGCAGGCTGGCCACCACCCGACGCAGAAAGCAGGCAAAGCTGCACAGCACGGACCAAACAGATTGATTTCTATGGCTGTGAGAGGGAGAAGATGAGTCCATGGTTCCATCAGGGTGGCTGCCACACGGCCCATAAGACTGGTGTGCACAAAGACACATTTATAACCACATGAACAGGTAGACAGAACAGTCCAGGAAGGAAAGAACAGCCGCTGACAAGTCAGACGTACTGATGTCTGCAATCACCGCTCAGACCACCAGCTGGTGGGGATTTGTATTTTGTTAATTATATAATACAAACTAACCATGATCAGAGCTACATAATGAAAAGGCAGGCAATTTAAAAGTTTTCAGAGGATTTTTATCAGTTTAAATAATGAGGCAGCCATGGATTATTACAGCTCTTCTGTAACAGAGCAGGTGGAAACTAACTCTACCAAATGGCCCTCCACATTGATCGGGTCAAGATTTATCCCCAGCCTGCCTCTAAACTGAGCTGAAGTGTGCACACTCTGTAAAGCAAATGCTTAGACATGTTTAAACTGGTTTAAGTATTTTTGAAGACAGACCGTCTATGTCAAAAGGAAAGCAATACTGTACAGAAAGCAATGGCAACATTCAAATGGGAACTAGGGCTGGATTCCACAGATGCCTGGGGGGAGGGGGCTAACCAGTACAGCCTGTATCAACACAACCTTCCAAAGACAGCCAGGATCTGTCCAGGGTCTCGGCTGCTGTTTATGACTGGTAACATTGTATTTGTTTCAATTTCACACATTTGTTGGAAGTTCTTAAATGTTTAAATCATGCATTATTGAATTAGTGTTCCCAGCTCAGCCTGTTCTACATGAGGAGTTAACGATGCCAATCCCGTGCTAAATGGGGAAACACTAGGAAATGATTTAAACCCTCCGTAAATTTTATTTGGGAATTAGTGAACACCTCATCATGATTTCTAATTAAAACAGCTCTAATTAACATAGACATTCATTAGCCTGTCCATGCCCCTCCCCCACAAGACACTGTGGTGCAGCAGCCTTGCAAGGAGCTGCCCACCAGCTGCAGGAAGGGCGGGTGATGTGCAGATAGGCAGTTGCTGTATCTATTCTAGGAAGCAGTGCTCACCTGAGCCTGGGCGCTGCCACTCACAGTCCCGGAGCCGCCAATCACTTCATCTACAAGCAGCGCCTCACTCGCTCTCCAGCTGCGGCAAGCAAAATCTCCAAGGACTTCAGAGTAGTGCCTTTTGTTAAAATCAGTTTGTAGAGACAGGTCTAGGAAGTGTCCGTTCAACTGACAGCAGAGCAAAGCAGTATCTGCCTTCCCACTGAAGGTAGGGCATCATTAGTCCAAGGGCTACCACCTCACTGGGCCCAGGCAGCCCTACATACCCACAGGATGGCCTGTGTGCTGACCTGTGTGACCAGAGGAGCCAGAGGACCCCATCACACCCTGAAGGGCCTGCCTTCACAGCAGATCCTACAGGCACAAGTGGAAATAGCCAGGCTTTAGCCGTGAGGGTTGCCATCTACCTACAGGGATTGCCATCTACCTACTGAGATACACAAAGATACATGTACTAATCTGGGTAAGATCAGGCTAGGAGCCGCTGGATGCAACAAGGGCTAGTGGGACAGTACAGGCCCTGGGCATCACATCAACCCACGCACTACAGGAAGACTGTGTTTGCAGGGTTAAAGGGCTGGGTGTCACACTCCTATGTCTGTGCCCAATGGGAATTAGGAAATGGCCAGTGAAACTGCCCTCAGTCCTGGGAGCCAAAGTACTAACATGGCCATGCCCTGACCATCTACTACAGGCCCAATACCCGATTCCACCCAAGGCAGATCCACACCAGGAAGCTAGAGCTGCAGCTGGTTTAGGACAGCTAGCAGGAGTCAGGCAAGCCATTCAGTCTTCTTCCGTGTAGTACTAGGGACTGAACCTAGTAGCTCAAGCACGCTAGGCAGCACTCTACCACGGAGTTAAACCCCCAGGCTTTTTTCCATTTTGAAACAAGGGCTCACTAAGCTGCCTCGGCAGCCCTAGAAACCAGTCTGTAGCTCAGGCTGGTTTTGAAGTAATGATCTTCCTGAACCACCCTTTCAAGTAATTGGGATCACAGGCTTTCACCACTAGGTCCAGCTTCCACTCAGCTGCCTTGGGTGCGTCGCCATTACCATACCGGTAACTGAGCCATAGGCACAAGCCATATAGGAAAAATAGGGCTTCTTACCTGGGCTCTGGGGGTGGAAGGTATAGCTCCTGCAGCTGACTGAACTAAACGCAGAACCCTGAACCTGAAATTGCATGCCCTCACCACCCACAAAGGTATCATGAGTGGCCAGAAGACTGCTCAAGTGCCCTTCAGCAGCCAGGCACTCAGTAGTCAGGAAATACGGAGCTAAGAGACATGACTAAGGCAACAGCGCCCAACAACACCCAGCTTTGCCTATCTGACAAAGCTTTAGGCCAAGAACAGCCAGGTTGCTAAGACCCTCAGGGCTTGGAGTCCTGCCAGCCCCAGCACTGCTGGTGTTCCCAGTGCCAGTGCAAGCTGGCAATACCTAGGCCTTGCAAAACCCTTCTGCGCTACCCAAGAACATTCAAAATCCATGGCTACTCCCTGGAACACTGGCTACCCAAGGATGTCCCTGCACTGCCAAGGCCCATCAGCAAGGTGACTGTCCTTGGAACTGGTTTGGCTGAGCTCTTCAGAAGAATAGTGAGGTGGCCTTCCACTTCACAGGCTCAGGCTTGGACAAGCCTGAGGCACTGATGACTTGGGACACTGAGTGAACAGACACAACAAATTCTGACTGTTACAGTGAGGGCTGGAGAAATGTTCTCCACTGTAGATCACACAGTGCTCAAAATTCATAAATCTGACTGAGATAAGTGACACAACAAGATGCAACTCTCGTAAGGCATTAATGGTACACACCACAACTGCTAAACAGACTCTACTGCAGCATTGCATTTCCATCATTGCCATAAACGCAACTGTTGGCGGACTGAAGGAGAGGCAAGGTGGCCCTCTGCTGGCCACATCACACATACCCTCTGCAAAGCTGGGGCCGCAGGCAGCTGGGAACTGCTAGGAGCTCCCTCCTACCTCATCTGGCCTAGCACTTCCTGTACTGCACTTGCAATGTGCCTACCAGCTGCCACAGGGTAGGCAGCAGGGTCTCTGAACACTAGACAGGGGAGCCCCTGGTTTTAGGTCGGCGCTATGGATGGCTTCAAATTTGACTTTTTCCTCAGTAAAAGACAGTGTTGTTTCCACCTCAGAGCTAACTTCCAAAACAGAATTCAGAAGCCAGACTACCCAGGTCAGCTGGCCCACTAACCTCTAAGGCGGTGGTTCTCAACCTTCCTAATGATGCAACCCTTTAATACAGTTTCTTATGTTGTGGTGACCCCCAACTATAAAATTATTTCATTACTACTTCATAACTGTAATTCAGCTACTATTATGAACTGTGATTTAAATAACTGGTATGTAGGATATCTGATAGGTGGCCCCTGTGAAAAGGCCATGACCCACAGGTTGAGAACCACTGCCCTAAGGCTATGTTCAGAGGCTAGGCTCAGGGTCCAGGGTTAGGACAGGATTCCACGGAGAGATGGCGGTCCTGACGTCTGTTTTCTCTATTTGGAAATCAGCTGAGAGGAGCCAGTGAGATGTCTCAGCTAAAAAAAAAAAAAAGGCACTTGCCAAGGACCTGAGTCTTGTCTCTAGACCTTCATGGTACAAGGAGAGAACTGACTCCCACAAATAAATGGAAGGTTTTAATTAAAACCACCTGAGAGAAACATGGGACGATGACTCGGCTGAAAGCTGTGAAAAGAACCAGGTAACAGTGATAGTCTGGACTATGACAGTTTTGTGCCTTTCAAACAAAATCTCAAGACCTATATACCCTAACTGCAGCCACCTCCCCCAACTCTGTGGACACTTGTCCACGCAGCCCTCAAGCACAGGATTTCCATTCCCACTACAAGGGCGTCACTTCCTCCAGGCATAGCAATATACTCTGCCTTCCAGCCAGCTCAGTGTACCTGGCATGGATGGCCTCTCTGTGGCTCCTAGGTCACTAGAGGACTGAATCCTTGCCCACTACCAGGTACCCAGAACACATGCCCCATACCTCTCTCTGGCCGTGTGTGTGTGTGTGTGTGTGTGTGTGTGTGTGTGTGTGTGTGTGAGAGAGAGAGAGAGAGAGAGAGAGAGAGAGAGAGAGGGAGAGAGGGGGGGGGGGACGGGACTGGTCTGGGACCACCACAAGAACTTAGTAAGGAAAAGCCCAGAATCTTCTAAAGCTGGTGGTGCCTGCCTGCTCAAATGGCTGAGTACAGACTCCTGGGACCTCTCAGCCTCAGCTCCATGAACTCACCCTGCTCCTCTGTCCTCTCTCAGGCTTGATGTTCAGTTCTTCATATTTCTTCACAGCAAGTTCCAATTCCATTTTCAGGTCAATGGCCTGTTTTAAGTGTCCACTGTAGATCCCCGCACGGGTAAACCGCTGTAAAACAAAGGGTGACTAACAAAGGTCCCAGACAGTCCCTAGAGAGCCTGGTCTGGCCAGGTAGTTCCCTCCTTTCAGGAAGGGACAAAGCTCTAGGGAGAGGGGTAATGCTCATTCCCACCCAGGTCAGTGTTCTATACTTCCACACGCCTGCTTTGCCTGGTCTTTGAGCCCAAGTCCACTGCTGAAGGCCAGGTACTCAGCCTCACCTGGACCCAGGAGCACACAGCTGGCAGAAACTTGATCTGGATGAGTTTGAGTGAGTCTCGAGCAGCATGGAGGACGGCAAGGTTGTCTTCATTCTCTTGCACCTTCAGACCATCTAAAACAAGGCATAGTTAAGTCACAGGAGGTGTCCCTGGTAGACCTCAAGTGTAAAGCCCATGCAGCTGCCAGGGACTCTGTATCCCTGCTCATAATCTCATTAGTATATGATGCCAGAGAATTCCATATAGCTAATTCGTGGTGATGGAGGTCTGGCATGATGGCAGAAACCTACAGCAGAGTTACACAGGAAAGACTAACCAGAGAGAAGTCCGTCTACCCCTTATAGCCCAGCCCAAGAAACTGCCGTTCCCAAGTCTAAATTCTACCATTGGGCAACCTGGTCCAGTGGAGGGGGGGGTCACAAACCTGGCTTGGGTAGAGCATCATATGGGGGCACTGCACCGCATCAGTGACCGGTTACCTGAGGGGAGCTCCACATCCAGTGTGTACTTGTGGGATCCCAGCCCATGGCTCCTCAGGAACTCCTCTGGGTCACTGTGCTCATCGTCGTCCCTGGAGGGGTCTGGCATGGCTGTTTGGGCTAGTACCTTCAGACCAGCATCAGATCCTATGTGGTATGTAGAGGCAACCAAGTCCTTGCTACAGCATGGCTGCTCTTCATTCTGGGATCCAAGGAGACCAGACTCTTGAGAAGTTGCCAGGTCTGGGCTCAAGGTGCAAGGAACATGGCCCTCTGTTATGCTAGATGCCTCACCAAAGAATTTATCCCCTGGGTATGGGCCCAAGTCCAAGGGCACCAGCAGCTTAAAGCAGTTCTCCACTTCTGTCAGGCAGCATCTGATTTCATCAGACATTTCTGCAGACATTGAAGCACCTGATTATTATGTCATCTTGAACCAGAGAACAACAGATGGCCAAGACTATTCCTCGAGGCACCCAAAGGAAGGTCATGGTGCCACCAAGAAAAGCCAATGCCCTGGCACAAAAATGGTAACACTTCCAATTATTTAATAAACTATGTAGCACAGCAGCTCTGTCTTTGGAGTACATCTTTGGGCATACTGTGCGGCAGCTCACAGAGGCCAAAGTGACCACTACTACAGGCCAACCTTACACTCAGGACGGTGGTCCCAGAGAGGGCAGGACATGCCAATACTACTTACATACGTGACAGGGTGGCCCCTCCTGGAGCCCTCTAAGCCATCCACAGCACAGCTGTATGCCTGCAGCTTTCCCCAAGGCCTGGGCTTTCAAGGCCCACACCCAGGTGTTTGTGGGAGGTTCTGGACACAAAAAGAGCCTACTGCCTGCTTCTGAGAGCAGAGAGCACTGCCCCATCTCACCAGGGCTGGCTCCCAGGAAGGGTGAGGACCTGGGAAAGGAACTAGCAAGAGTAGATGTTGGACAGAAGAATGAGCAAGGACTCTGGCTAGTGACCAAGTGTAGACTCCTATGTCCAGCCTCTCTGTTCAGAGTCTTAAGCCAAGTAGTCACAGGAAGACCAAAGACCAGGAGACACATGAGCTACGGGCAGACTGTGAAGGCTCAACCCCATCCTGAACCATCCTGTCTTGCAAAGCTGCCTGCGTGGGTCTCAGGCGAGATTGAAGAACAACTAGGGAACAAGCACAAGAATCCATAGGGGGTGGTTTCACAGGCTAGCCCAGGAACTTACCTTCCATTTCCCTCTTAGCCCGCTCAGCACTTTCTTTGTGGATTTTATCCAAGTGCTTCTGCTTCTCCTCTTCTCGCTTCCTTTCTGCCACAGTCCTAGCATTGACATCCTGAAAATCCACCTGAGAATTTGAAGAGGGAGTTTAGGACTGCCTATAACAAACACAAACCCAACTAAGAAAAGCCACATTGCCGTCAACACAAGGCCAGGATCTTGATGGTTCATAGTCTACAGCATTTCAAACAGGCTGCCTCATCCAGCCACGCCTTTCACATCCGGCACCCAGGAGTGAACTCCAGAGAAGAGGGGACACCATACAGGAACCACAACCACATCCATTGGCAGGGGCATGACAGAACCTGGGCAGTGACAGGAGGGCTGGAAGGCATAACAGAACCTGGTGTCTCACTAAGCACAGCACCAGTCAGCGCCCATGGCGAGAGCTAAGCAGGGCTTACTGGCAAGAAAAGGGAATGTCCCTGAAAGGGGAGCCCATTCGAAAGCAGAGCGCATCTAGGAGTATGATTCTACAGGCTCAACTCCACCCCCAGGCAAGTGTCAGGTACAGTTTTCTTTGCTGTTCTGATTTTAGGGAGCATCCTCCATTCTACTGTATGCTGATCCAGCTGCCTTGCTACCCAGGTCTGTGTACCTGCAGAAAACTCAATGAAAAGAGCTCTTTCATCGGCTAGCCAGTCTCACCCCCAGGCAAGCAGACTGTCCTGTCCAAGACTCACTTACCTTTTTGGTGTGTTTTAAGAAGTGGTAGCCCAAGGCTAGCTTCTTATAGGCCTCCCCGAACTTCTCATTCCAACCTTCCACAGCCTGCATGGCTGCTTGCTTTAGCCTCTGGGCTGCCTCCCGTGGGGGTGGCAGGGGATGGTCATTATCCGTGCCTAGTGTTAGCTCTAGGAATTCCTGGAAGTCAGAAACGAGCAGCACTCTGAACTGATGAGACCTGGTGAAGAGCTCATTCACGATCTGGAAGGCTGAGAGGCGTATCTCAGCATGGTCCTGGGTCAGCTGTGTCTTCAGCAGATGGTAAGCATGACTCAGCTGCTCCTCTGAAGACCTGGGAGCACAAGCCAGCCTCACCAAATGCTCACTCATGAAGGACAAGTGTCATTCTTCGTGCAGGGATACTACCTTTACAAGAGGTAGGGACTGGGCTTACTTAGCATCCAATCTTCATTTTTTTTCCTTCTAAAGCTGAGTGGACATACTAGTGTCTAAGCATCAAATGTGGCCCACCCCCATCCTACTTCAGTACTGCCCTAAGCCAAGAACATTTTCTACATTTTCAAATGGCTAAAGCAGCTGTGGATGTGGCACAGTGGTAAAGCACCTGCCTAGCATGGGTGAGGTCCTGTGCTGGACCTCCAGCACTGCAAAGATAAATACCATGGTTGAAACACATAAAAGAATACTTTTTGAGATATGAACATTACATTAAGAATCAAGTATAAAGGGCTGGAGAGATGGCTCAGTGGTTATAAGCCCTAGCTGCTGGGTTCAATTCCTAGTACTCACATGGAGGATCACAATCATCCTTAACTCTAGTTCTAGGAGACCCTACACTCTTCAGGCCTCCTTAGAAAGCAGGCATGAACATGGTACACAAATATACATGCAGGCAAAACACCCACACACATAAAATAATTCAAAAAAAGTCAATGAGTTTTGTTGAAACTCGTTTACCCCTGCATAGTCCCTAGCTGCTTTCCCAGATGAAATTTACAGTATATGCAGATCCTTCACAGTGTAGCAGTAAGACAGCAAAGTAGGGCAGAGAGTGGGATTCAGAAGGCCTTGTACAAAGCCTTACAAGATTAGCTGAAAAAACAAGTTGACAAAGAAGATGGTAATCCCCAGCTAAGATAAATTAAAACATGCTGGTGCCATTGACATAGGGGCAGAGGTACTCTAGAATAGCTAAGAGTAACCAAATGTTCATGCTAACACTAAAATACACAACCCTGGGTGGACACTTAAGATGCTAATGAGTCATGTGATACATGAAGCTGTATATACAACTGTATATAACAGAACATACACAGAATGCTTGTACTGTGTAAATAAGCTTCCCTTGGAAGTATATTCTTCCTTCCTTTCTAAAAAAGATGTACTACTAGTGTATGTGTGTGTTAGTGCAGGTACACCATGCCATGACATGCATGTGGAGATCAGGTGATGGTCAGGAAGGAGTTGGTTCTCTCATTCCCAGAGCCAACGTAGGCCGTCAAGCTTGTAAGATAAATGCTTCACCCTCTGAGCCATCAGCATGTCAGCTGCTTGAATATACACACCAAAAGATAATCTGGTTGGTCATGAGCAGAGGTTACAAATTAGCCCCTCATGAATGAATCAAGGTATGCTGCAAAAGTCACACATCAGGAGCTGGGTGTAGTGGTACACACCTTTAATCTCAGCACTCCAGAGGCAGAGCCTGAGGCCATCCTAGTGAGTTCAAAGCCAGCCAAGGCTACACAGTAAAACCCTGAATCAAAACATGAAAAGATAAAAATAAGAAAAGTCACATATCACCATGCTCTTTGACAACTCCCTAGTAAAGACAAGTAATTTCAAAGTAGCCTATTAAACCGTACCCATACCTCCCTCAGCAATCACTTTCATTTGTCTCCCTTTTTTGCCTGCCCCAAGGCTTAGGTGATAGCAGGCACAGGCAAGAGAGGGTGCTGGGTGGATGCTCAGAGACTTGGTTATGCAAGCATCTGTCTAGCTGGCTGGGGGAGTTGGCAGTGGTGCAGTGGCTCCAGGCTGGAACACACTTGGTCACTAGCTCTGTTGTATGCTGCTACCTCCTGGTGCTTTCCCGTGCCATGGTAGCCCTGTTTGCCTCTCTCCAGTCTTATCCTTTTCAGAACTCCTTACTAGCAGCTCTGAACTTCTAGATAACTTCCCTGTGCCAGCCACTTTCTATCCTCTTTTGCCTTGTCCTCCCTCATTTACTGTAGACAATCCATCTCTAAGGCCACTGATTTAGCTTCCCAGATATCTTATACTCCCTTACATATGAGGTCCAAAGTCAAAGAGAAAGATTGCCTGTTTCCACTTTTAACCTGGACGACAATCTGGAAAAATACTGAGCCACCCAAGCAGGCAAACCTCTTCTTTCACTAACCTAGCTGCCTGGGACTTTAAAAGAAAAAAAAAAACAAAAAAAAAACAATTCATTTAACTTTATTTTATGTGCACTTGTGTCAGATCCCCAGGAACTGAAGTTACAGACAGTTGTGAGCTGCCATGTGGGTACTGGGAATTGAACCCAGGTCCTCTGGAAGAGCAGCCAAGTGCTCTTAGCCACTGAGCCACCTCTCCAGCTCCTGCTTGGAACTTTTTAGAGGTTCACAGGAGTAGTCTTTTCCCACCAAGGCAGAAAGAAATGTGCCTGTAGCAGGGACTTGCATTCCAGTCCCAGGAAAGTTAATGCAGGATATGTCCCTGAAGAGCCAACACTAGCTGTCTCCAACTCTATCTGAGAACGAAAACAGAAAAGCTGGGGCCTCAAAGCAGTGTTACTAATCCTTGGGTAAGCCACACTCAACTCACCTGGAACCCCCAGGGAGTGTGATGGGCTTGGGGATACTTGAATCCTTCAAGTCTCTTGAGAATTCTACACACAAGTCAGAGGGAAGTATCTTCCTGCCCCTGTAGGCTGCTTCTTGTCTCTCCTTTTAAGATACATTCTTGGATGCCTGGCTACAGAGCATTGTCAAGAACTGAAATTATGTTTGATCCTGGGCTGTCAAAATGGTTTAGCAGGTGGATATGCTTACTGGATATGTCTGGAGATGTGAGCTAGACCCCTGGAACCCATATAAAGGGGGAAGGAGAAAACCAACTCCACAGAGTCATCCTCCGACCTCCACAAGACTACAGTGATACCCGCACGTACCTGTTTGAACACACATGTACACTAATGTGTGTATATAGACAAACAAGACATTTCAAAAGTGAAGATAAAGAAATATATTTGATCCTGAGAACTTAAAGAAAAAGGCTAATATTTTACTGTAACATGGTCTCCATACAGGCTGGCTGGTAGGAAGTTTGGCCAAAGGATGAAGGACCTATACTTGGTCCTCACTATTTGTCCTCCTGAGAAAAAGTAGAGGATCTAGGAAGAAAAGAGGAAGTATACCAATAGATTATTTACCCAAATTCTCACTTCTGTCCATTCTGAGTGAATACCTTCCCAGATCAGGAACTCACTAAGTGGGATCATAACACTCCAGCAGGGACCCACAGATGTAGATTGGTGGTTGAAAACCTCCTTGCAGGGATGAAAAGTTAAGAAACCTGTTAACTACAATAAAACCAGAAAAGCTGCTCCATGTCTTAGTTTCTTCTCTTGCTGTGATAAGACAACATGACTGGGGCTGGAAAGGTGGCTCAGAGGTTAAGAGCACTGGCTGCTCTTCCAGAGGTCATGAGTTCAATTCCCTGTAACCATGTAAAATAAGATCTGGTGCCCTCTTCTGGTGTGCAGGCAAACATGCAGGTAGAACACTAGTAAGTAAAATCTTAAAAAGACACCATGACCAAGGCAAGTTTATTTTGGGCTTACGAGTTTCAGAGGGTTAGAATCCACAATGGTGGAGCATTAGCTGAGAGTACATACCTTAAACCACAAGCAGGAGGCAGAGAGAGCACAAGGCTTTTGGAGCCTCAAAGCCTGCCCCAATGACACACCTCCTCTAACAATAACTATTGAGATGCCTCAGGAAATTATTAATGTGGCTAGTAAATGTTAAAACTTCTTTCCAATATGGTTTGTTCTCTGCATGTCCTGATTGTTGAGCTTGTTTTTGGTCAACTTGACACAAGTTAGAGTTATCGGGAAAAAAAAAAATCTCAGTGAAGACAATGTCTCCAGATTGCCTGTGGGGAAGCAAGTCTGTGGGGGCATTTCTTGATTAATATTAATGGACTATAAGATGTAAGATGAAATAAACAATTCCTCTCCAAGTTACTTTTGGTCATGGTGTTTACCCCATAGCAACAGAAAGCAAATGAGGTCAAGGCCATTGGCTATAGTCATCATGTTACTCTTGTTTGGACATTGCATTTTTAATTTCTTTGTCTTCTAATGTCATCTAAGATACAGCAATTTCAGTGTAAACTGGAGAATCCAAATTCTCCTTCCCAGTCACTATCACTAGAGAGCAGTTTTGTAATCCCTCTTACCTGCCCTGAGATATCATGGAAGTAGTTACAGATGATTTTGTTGTTGTTGTTGTTGTTAACTTAAAAAAATATTGTTGTGTGTTTGACCTATGATGTGAGTGTGGTGTGTATTCTACAGCACATATGTAGAGGTAAACGGACAACTATGGAGTTGCTTCTCTCCTTTTTTTTTAAACCTCAAAGTCCACCCCCCCCCAGTGACACCTCCTTCAATAAGGCCACACCTCCTGATCCTTCCCAAACTATTCCACCAACTGGGGACCATGCGTTCAAATACACGAGCACTCTTATTCAAACTACCACAGATGTGGAGTGAAGGAACTAGTAATGCAGAAATATAACAGACGGAGCAGGAAAAGCTCGCAATAAGGTAACACAAGGGCCCAAGTCTTTGTATAGAGCAGGGATATTTGAGACATTGAACTTTCTCCCTTCTCTAGCCAGCTTCCTCCTTGGGAAGGGTATTCATTCTTAATAAATTCTCTTGCTTTACTTACTACTGCCCACATGTCTCTGTTCCAGTCTTTGTTCTGAGACACAAAAACCCAGAATCCCTCCAAGTGTCAACAGGGCAGTCCCAGGTGCAAAGCCCTAGCCTCTTCTAAAGGAAATGGAGTGAAAAGGCCTCATAGTCCTCTAGGTGGCTCCTCTTTCTCTCAATAACACCCTGCGTGAATCAGAGGTCAGAGTTTTTCTGCGTGTGCAGCAAAACCAGGTCTGGATTAGAGCTGTAAGGATTCAGGCATCATGATGGCCTATACCAGACAGCATGCACTCAGGCAGTTCCCTGGCTAGCCCAGGATTCTATGGCTGCTATGTCACTACGGAGAGGGTGAAAAGGGGCCTTTAAGAGAAAAACTCCATGCCTCTCTTTTCTCTTTATCTTCTCTCTCTCTTTCTTGTCCCCCCCTCCAATAAAACTTCTCACTTAAGCTCTGTCTTCCTGGCATGTTTGTCCCTCACCTGCCATGGAACCCATCAAGGTCCCCCTTACACAACATTATAACAAGAGGGTTTATTTAAATGTAAATACTCCAGCATTCATTAAGAATCACTTACATTTTCTCTTCTTATGACCAAGGCAATTAAGAATTTTTTTTTTCCTCACTAAATATGACCGCCTGAAGTGGCAAGGCAGGGTGCTTTCTTGGAGGGACTACTAAGGATAAGAACAACTACCTTCAAACAGGGAGAACACTGATGTCGCATGCCTATAAATCCAACAGAGCACCTGGTAAATGCACAGCCAGCCTTAGCTACATAGTAAGAGGTCAACCTGGGTTACATAAGACTGTCTCAAATAAAACAAAAAAGAACGAGAGAGTACAGGGTAGCTCAGTGGCACGGTTTGCCTGTCCTGCTGTGGGGAGGGACGGGTGGACAGGGCCACTCACCCAATCACACTCCTTACTCCAACAGTAAAGAAGATGCTGACATAGTATGGTTGCTTTATAACATACAGAAATGGTTGGAGGCACCAAGCTTAGAACCTGGGCTACATTCTGGACCAACGTGCCCTGCCTGAGATTACAGCCCCAGAACTTGTAGTGGTTCTTTAGATTTCTGACCCAAGGTCTCACTATGTAGCCCACCCTGGCCTGGAAGTCATGACCCTCCTGTCCCCACCTCCCAACAGGCAAGTGCTTCTGTGCCCTGGTGATCAGGTAACTCCTTCCCAGGTGGTGAAGGCAGGAGATGGCAGAGATGTACAAGAGGGGAGAGGGGTTCAAGCAGCGTAGGTGCTCAGTGGGCCAGTCAGACACGTTTCACCTAAATACATACTTGCAAATTTTCTTCAGTTCCTTCATTTTCTGAGCATTCAGTTGGGATTCTCCTGAAGTTGTGAGCTCCTCTATCAACTGTGGAAGTTTCTGATCCATAGCTAGAAACGAGGAAGGCGGAGACGCAGGGCGAACATCCAGTGCTTCAGTATTGGTTTTATCAACACAGCTTACTGGGGTCCTCTAAGTTCTGGGGACTCTGGCAAGGGCCCTAGAGTGTCTCTGTGGGATGCCTCCCAGGCCAACAAGACCTTCGATAGTAATTAACTGAGGTTCTGAAGGCGAGTCTAACTCTACAGTCAGCTGTGTGGGAGTCGAAGCCGAGCCGGTACCGATCTTTAAGGGAAAATGTCACTCAATCACACTCAAGCTGGCCGCCAGGATACTCGCTCTCGGTAAGCGCCAGCCTCTGGACAACTGCAGGGTCCCGACCCTCAGTGCGCCGCTCAGGCTGGCCGGACCCTCTGCCTCAGGGAGTCTAGTACCAGCATTCCGCGGCTGCGGCGACACAGACCGCCGGCTGCGGCAGCTCGCCTCGCCCTCCTTTTCCGGTGGCGGCCAAGCCCGTCACACGCCCCACAGCGCACTCGGCAAGTATTCCTCAGGCCGGAGGCGCAGGAGCGGAAGTCATCGTGATGCGCGCCGTGACCGCCCTGGTCCCGCCCCTTCCAGAGGAGCCCTCCCCCTTCACCCCCGGCAGTCTCCGTCATTTGCTCGGGTGGTCTCATAGCGCAGGCGTGAGGACGCAGCAACGCGGTGACGCAATGCGCTAACAGGGGGGCGGGGTAGTTCTAGAAGAACTACGCGCGAGAAAAAGGAGGCGGGAGGGCGCAGCAAGTTCTTAAAGGGGAGGTGGCTCCGGGGCAGGAGTCAGAAATAGAGGCTTAGAAAGAACTGGGTGCCTAGTGTCCCACCCACCTACCCTGAATTTGGCCAAGGACCAGAGTCAACTGGACTTTTCTTCTCACCGTGTTCAGTGTATGAGGATCTGACAGCCCAGCTTCAGAATATGTCCTCGTGGTCAGTGCCAGGTCCCAGTCTCGGTACACTCGTGAGGTCACGATTGTGTCCTGCTGCTTCCACTTCACATGCTCGTGCAAAGATAAGCCAAAGACTTGCCCCCCCCCCCCGAAAAGAACGAAATGTCTTAAGATATTTTTATTACATTTATTGGGAGGCTAGAAAGTGGGCCCTCTTGTGGAATAAGGACAATTTATGAGAGCTAGCTCTCCCAAGTGGGTCCCAACAGTCAAAATGAAGTTGCCAGGTGTGATAAAGTGCCATTACCATCTCAGAAACTAGAATGACTTAAAGTAGTAAAAGAAAAGAGTCTGTCGAGCCAGACTTGTATATATGTGCAAAAGCTGAGCTTGCTGCAAACAGGAGCAAGCAGTTGCATGCCAGCAAGACGCAGGGAGTCCCTTCTGGGAAGGAAATGATACTAGATGCAGATTCCAAGCAAATGAAGAACTAACTGTAAATGATAAAGATGATGAAATAATTCCAAACTTCTTTTATAAGTTACAGTTCAATAGATTATTAAGTTTAATATTCAGGAAAAATTATGACAATAGTTACTCAAGTAACATGGAAAGAAAAAAATGGTAGTATATATTCCAAGAGTTGTGCTCTTAGATAATGGCATTTCCGTTAATGACAGACCAAATACAACGCCTAATGACATAGCAGGCTTTTAAGTATTCTATGATCTCAGAACATACCAACACCATCAAGTGAACCAACCCCTAAAGTAACAAAATGAATTAGATGCAAAAAGGGTGGGAGCGTGTCTTACTGATAGAGTATTTACCCAGCATATATGAGGCCCTAGGTTTGATCACACAACACACACACACACACACACACACACACACACACACGCACGCACGCACGCACGCACGCAAATGGAACATCACTATTAAGACTGCAATGATAAAATGTGACCAATTTAAAATAAAATGGATACTAGTGAAAATAAGGAAGAACAGAACAGAGACATAGGAAAGCATAGCAGACAAAAGATTTAAATCAAACAGAAAGATACTTTGTCAAAGACAGGCCAGGTGGCACCTGCCTTTAATTCAAGTACTGAACTTTAATTCTTACTCAGGCAGCAAGTTCAAGGACAGCCTGGTTAATATAGTGACCTCCAGAACAACCAGAGCTATTTAGGGAGACCATGTCTCAACAATAATAATGTCAACATCCCTGTGAAGGGGGGGCTACATTGGCCCTCAGGCCAACAATTCATAGAGAGGTAGCCCACCTCCTGCATTGAGATTTTCATTCAATAACCATTTGTTCTTTTTTCCACCTACACAGACATCTTCATTCAAAGTGTTTAAATGTTGTTTTTGCTGTTCTTCCAAATGCTTTGCCAAACTCCTAAGACACTCAGAGGCTAACATTAAGTAGTGGGACCTTTATGCACAAGGTGGGCAGGAGCTCTGAAGCTTCACTGTCTTTTACTCAAAGCTAGTAAGAATTGGTCTTGGGACTCAGCAACTATGAGGAAACTACAAAAGCCAGCAAGATCTAAAACAAAGCAAAACAAACAAAAAACAATAAACAAAAATAAAAACCATCATTTGCATAATTTTTTTTCTGTCAAAAGAGCAAGGTTGGGTACAGCAGTTTTGGGTACAGCAGCATAGACTGGAGGAACCATTCTGAACCATTCTCTTCCTTCATGTTTCATCTAGCCTCCTCAACCATGCTTTCATGTCCATGTCCAAAGGGCCTGTGGGAGGAAGGTGGCTGGAGAGATAGCTCAGCAGTTAAGGGCACTTGCTTCTCTTGCAAAGAACCTGGGTTCAATTCAAAGCCGACCCCCACGTGGGAATTGTGGATCACAAGTGTAACTCCAGATCCAAGGGATCAGATCCCCTTTTCTGGCATCTGTAAGTATTGTGTGCATATAGTACACATACGGCTGTACACAAATGCAGGCAAACACTCAAACATGATTTTTTTTCTAAAGACATCTTGGGGAGACAGTAATCTATCAACTTTACAGGCTCTAATTTACTCAAGTACACCCCTCAAACACAATTCTCCAAGTGGTCGTGTGCATGATGTATTCCAGCAGTATCGCCCTTCCTGTTCTAATTTATAGGGGGAAAATACACAGTGCACTAACAAGAGTGGGGAGAAATTACTCACCCATAGGATAAGGTTAGTCTTTTTTGCTAGCACTTTTCTACTTGTGTCCATCTGCTGCTGCTTGTTCCTGGAGCCTGCCATAAACAGGTACATTTGGCTCCAGTATCCACTAAAGCCTAAGTTGTCCTTATTAGTAAGGACCAACAAACATGTAATTCAATGTGGGGCCTCGGGTTACCCTGCATGGACCTCACCTGCAGGTAACACTGACCATCTTATCTTGTTAAGGGTGCAGTGGAAGACTTCTGTTTCGTGAGAGCTCCTACCTCCACAGCAGTGGGAATGCACTGGAGGAGTGATAACCTGAAGATATTTTATTCTCTAGCTTCCATGTGTGCACACACACCTATACACACACAAAACTGATAGTTTGAATGAGAATGACCCTAATAGGCTCATGTTTGGTCTCCTCTTGGAACTGTTCAGGATCAGGTGTGGCCTTTTTGGAAGAGGTGTGTCAGTGGGGATGGGTTTGCTTTAAAAGCCTACACCATCCTTACCTATCTCAAGATGTGACCATACATACAGGTACTGCTCCTGCACACCTGTCTGCTGCCGTGCCTTCCACCATGATGGTCATAGACGCTAATGCTCTGGAGCTGTGAGCTCTCAAATTAAATGCTTTCTTCTATAGGCTGCCCCAGTGTTTTATCATGGCAATAAAATTAACGGAGACAAAAACCTTGCAAGTCTGTAGCTTTATTTTGACCCATTATCTATTTCCTGCCAAATCAGAGGCTAACATGGAAAACGTCACCTGCATGTCCTTTTCCACGTGTCGTTCCTCCCTCATGCCAAGTTCCCTCAAGGCAGACAGCTCAGTTTCAGCTGTACGTCTTATCACCCAGGGCAGGAACCCTGCAACCACCACTGCAGCACAGGAGCATGCCAATTAAACCACACAGAGAAGTCAGGGCACCAGCAGACCAGAAAAGATTCCATTAAGTCCAGCTTGGTGAACCCATGGGTTTATTCGGATTACTTACAGGACTCAAGAGACTTGAAGGCAGCTACAGGACCAAGCAGGCCCCATGGAACTTAAAAGCAACTCTTAACACCCCACTCCCTTGTCTGTTTACTCTGTATAATCTGGCACCTTCCCTCTTTTCCCAAGACAATGTTAGCATGTTTAATCACATGGAGGTCATCTGCATGTGACTGCAACTGCTCTAAGGGTGATAAGCGTCATACCAACACGAAGGACAGCTACACTGCAGGGAAGCACAGAACACTGCTGATGTCACTGTGCTACCATTTCTCAGTGGTGCCATGCGTAGAAGGCCCCAGGCACCAGAATGAGTATAGAGAATGGTACTAGGTTACAGAGCCCCCCAAATAGAGCATAAGGTAGCTAGCTCCAGAGAGCACTGAGAAGCAGTGAGTGACACAGGCTAAGTCCACCCGCCCACAGTTTGTACTGAGGTACATGGTTTGGCTTCCCTGGCAGAACTGAGTGATGAGGCTAATCCAGCTGCCATGCAGGAGAGAAGAGCAGACAATGTCCTGAGTGGTAATGAGGACTTGAACACTCAGGACACCCGCTTGCTGGTGTCTGCAGCTTGAACCTTTACCCCAACAGTGGCTCCCAAGACCCCAAAAACAGAGACAACAGGAATTGCTATCAAGATCCACTTTGGTTTGCCAAAAACCTGCAATGTTCCAGCCCCAGGTGGGCTCTGGGCATCTGGCAGAAGCCAGATGTTACCTTAGGCCTCTTGGTATTTATGCCTCATTCTTCAGAAGAGCCCCTTGGAGGTTAGCAGTCTAAGTTGTGTACAGACCAGGAGAGGTGTGCAGAGTCCTCTTCACTATAGAGACAGGGCAAACCCAGGAACCACATAGGTGCTGCATGGCCTACTGGTTGACTGGGTGAGCAGAAGAGACCTGAGGTCTCACAAACACCTCACACAAAAAATGAGAAATAGAAAGCTATTTTATTAACACGCTTTACATTTACAGTTCATTAGCTAATCAACATCAACATGCAAAAATAAGCGCTAGATACAAACCTCTACAATATGGTTGTGTGTGAATTACAATGGTTCATCTGTTCTGAAAACCCGTCAGTACTTCGCTCAACTACCAGTTTCTGTAATGAAAAGCATTTACACTCTAGGACTACGGAACCACCTGGCAAGGCCTCTGCAGAAACTCAGTCCAGTGGCTTTCCCGTGAATACATTCTCAAAGCAGGAGATAAGGCGGTGCTGGAGGGTGAGATATTGAACCTGTGCACAGACACAGCCCCAGACACCCTGGCCATGTGGGCAGAGCCTCCTCA